GAATATGAAATAAATAACCACCAAAATCGGGTTGAAGTATTTTATGCAATTTATCGATAACAACCTTATTTACACTAGCGTTGTCGAACGTAAAAAAACGAATTTTACTCTCGCATTTATACTCTCTAATAATGTTCATAATAACGTTAAATATAGTTTGGGCATTGTACGAGTATTCGATAATTTTAAAAGCAATATTTTTTTATGCATGACCCAAAGTGGGTCTATATAGTATGCAATTGTAGCTATATAACCTCTCTTATTAATCAATTCATGCATATCCGAAGTTAAAGATATCACACCCTTATATTTTTCTAAATCTGCAATCAATAATTTCTTTGTATTAAGAAAATATTCAATTGTATCAGAACGAATAGTATTTCGAGAATATTTAATGTATGTTCTTCATCTTGTTCCAAATCAATTAGAACACTATGATCAATATCAACGTTATCCAAATCAATTGGATGACTACCTTCATGAACATCGAAATCTTGAATGTTCTCTGATGGTAATTCATTGAGACTAGTGAATTCATTCCCAAATTGACTTTAGGCAGGTGTTTCGCCTTTCATATCGAACAAGTTTTTAACAAATGATCGTGGATTCATTTGTGAATAATAGAAATTGAATGTTGAAGACTTGAAGTAGAATGTATAAATGTAGAATTGAGAAGTGAATGAAAATTATGTAGTAGTACTGTATAAAATGAATTGTAAAATCAAGATAATAATGTAAAAAAATGTAGAAGATGATTATAGAATGAATGATATTGTTGATAATGATTTGTAAATTGTAGAGAGTATAATAGAAAATGAGAAATTGATATTGATAGTAAGTTTGGTAGGAAAAAAATATTGTAATGGGTGGATATTTATAGGGAAAGAAAATTAGAAAAATGAAGAAAAGAAAAAATAATAATAAAATAAAAGTGATCAAACGATCACTGAATTTTTCAGTGACCGTTTGGTCACATTTATTAATATTTTTTCATATATAAGAGTCGAGCGGCTCGCAATAAAAGGCGAGCAGGCTCGTCGAAAAGAGCAGCTCGGCGAGCTCCGAGTGCAGGCTAGCGAGTTGGCATGCTCGGCTCATGCTCGAACTCTTTTTGGCGAAACGAGCCACTCGACTCAATTGCCACTTCTAGCGTATGATCGTCGGAGAATTTTAAAAAATTAGCATGTTATCGAAATTCAAATTTATTGTGATTTTGCTCATGATTGGTGGAGATTAAAATCAATTTTTTAGTAAATTTTGATAAAAGTTAAACAGTTATGGATTCCATGAAATATGTTATTAAAATTAATTATTAACGTTGATGT